TGTCGATTCTTTTTTCCCTTCCTCATCCCTATCTCAAGGGTTTAAGTGTCTTTTTATGTTGTCTGGGTACTATAAATTTTTTGAAAAGGTAGATAGCTAATATTGATATTATTTTAGGATATTGACCCAATTGTCTCTATATAGAAACATATAATAAAATAATTTTTGTAGGTTGATTTGCCAATGGCATGACATATAATTATTCTAGTCCAAGGGTTATTTAAAAAGGGTTGTGAGGTGGAATATGAAGTTGACACCTAAAAAATGGCAAAGTTGTGAATCACACATGAAATAAAAGTTTGTTTATAAAAGTTCTCCTCAAATAATAAAAAGGGGATTTTTGACCATAACTAACATGGTATTCTTATTTAGGAATTAATTTTTAGTTTTTTAGTTAAACTTAAAAACAGTTTCTTAACTTTTGTTAAGAAACTCACATTAAAAATTCAGGATTAATCATGTTCTTAGCTACCAAACAGTATATACTCATTTACAACACTATCTTACAGAGCTAGTCAACACACTATATATCTAATATATTTCCTTGCTAAATTTAAAGTTAAATAAACGATAATTGATTATAAACATTATGTAAATCGTTAGACCGTAATTATCATTTTAAATAAAAAAAAATTGATTATACGGACAGCTAGATCTTTTTTGAAGAAAAACATTTTCATTCAAATTTGATTTGCTGCATAGACAGATAAGTAGGTGCCACGTAAATTATTTTTTATAACATTACTAAATTGTAACTTATGAGTTAACCCAAGAAAATTTACTATATATAGTCCAACAGTACTAACATATAAAGCATCATTTATCAATGCAGTTTTAAAGAAAATAAAGATTCACATATCTTATATACCATCCGTTCAATTTTATTTGTCGTTGTAAACTTTTAAAATATGTTTCATTATAATTATCGTTCTATATTTTCAATACAAATATTTGGTAGTTTTCTCACTCTTATCTTTATTATTTTAGTTTATTTATTAATTAATAAAAACACATAAATAATGTATTAGTTAAGGATATAATAATAAATTTAATGATTTTATAATATGTGTGGATAAAATTTAAACAACCTATAAAACAAATGGAGAGAGTACTATAAAATAGGATTTTTTAATCAGGTAAAACCGAACCAAACCGTAATAGAAAATAGTTTAGATTTGGTAATACCGAATAAAATGAATGAATGTTATTTTAAGAAACCACAGTATATGGATATGGTTCGGTATATAAATCGAATAAACCAATTAATAAAAATATATTAGTATACATATATGCAAATTTTCTAATAAAATTAATAATATATACATGATTATTTATTAATATGAAATTCATATTTAAAGCACTGATTATATTAAATTTTATTTAATCTAAGTTAAAAAAATATTCACACTTTCATCAGTTAAATATAACATATTTTTATTAGTAAATATTTGTGCTAAATTATAGTTATTAAATAATATTATGATATGAATATTTTCCTTCTTTTATTTTAATAGTAAAACTGAAAACAATATATTCTATTTAAAACTAGAGTATGGAATATATATATTATGTTTTTAATAAAATTTATTTCTAATCATAGAAACAAAAATTTATTATAAAAGTAAGTATAGTTATGGGTTTTGGTACAAAACCGAATAAACCGAAAGCCGCTAATATAGAAAGCAAACCAAACCAAAATAGATATGATATTAATTGGTAGTTAATTTTTATAAACTGAAAAACCAAAAAAAAAAAATCGAATAGAAACCAAAGCTACATCCGGATTGAACACCCCTCTGTAATATATATTGTATCAATGTTAACGCTCTCCCATAATTAGCTTCACAATGAGGCAAGTATTTATAAATGTATAGATGCATATAATACTCTACATGAATAATATTCTTTCAGCTTCCTCTTTCTTAGTAAAAAAAATACAATTATTGTGGGTATGGGATATACATTAAAGTGCTGAATATTTTAAAAAAAAATCGGTACACTTTTTTTGGGACACTTGAGACTATAAATACAGCAACGTGATCCAAGACCAAGCTCCTCTCTAACATTACATATCTATATGTGTACATGTAGAGAAACGCCTATGGAGAGAGGAAGATGCATATGCATGCCAAAAGCAGGTGGCGTAGTAGAGAACTAGCTGTAAAGCTCAGGAGGGATAGCGCCATGATTCATCACCATTACTATATATGTCTTTGTATATGTAATGCATGGCGCTATCCATCCTGAGCTCCATGGCTTCTTCTTGCTTTTATGGGTCTTTAACCGTAGCATCGTTGAGAGATTTTATAGAAAAGATGGTAACATGTAAGGTTTGAAAATTGTTTTGTCTTTTTATTTGTTGAAGAAGACGGATGCATCAGGTTCGTTACAGTATATGTATTTTTCAGATGTTAGGTACGAGAACGTACTTAAATGAACGAGAAATTTTGATCAAAAAAAAAAATGAACGAGTAAAATTAAATCATATGGAATTTGTATAGAAAGCGAGAGAAAAAGAATTGCAGGGCAGGTTTGGTCGTACATTTGGATTTGAACTTGTAAATCCAATTTGATCTCAAGAATACTCGACTGAAAACTTAAATATGTGTGTAATTTGATATAAGATTTGGATTTTAATTTTACACATTTTTAAGTGATCCATTTAGTGAGAATTACATTTCGCAGGTTTAAAGGTTGTGAAATTGTACTGATTCGTAATCACACTCCACCACGCTTCATCCAATTCTGTAATTATGTGGGAGAATGTAAAATCACCATGTATAGGTGCAGAGCCTTAAACCAAAATTAATGTGGTAGTTGGAGCTAGCCGACTACTGATCCGGTGAACCTAAACCATTGAAAGGATCCTTGTTGAATCTCTTATATACTAAAGCGTAAGTCGTTTGAACAATTAAAATTTGACACATGTAATTTTTTTTTCAAAAAAAAAACTATATCACATTCTTTTTTATTTAAAATGTTTATGTAACTGAAACAAAATCCCTTTTTTCTCTCTATCGATCATCACATCATTAAAACACTGTTCAAACATTCAGCAACTCCCACTATTAACTATTTCATCTCTTATATAAAGTTCAGTCAATCTTTTATATGTATTTTTCTCTCTTCTTTTTTCTATTTTCGAAGCAACCTCCTCCTTTTCTTTATCGATTCATTCTTGGTCTTTTATTTGAGTTTTGAATATAATAAAGATTCTATCAGATCTACTTCTATTTTATAGCTTGACTTTTCACAAAGAAAAAGTTTAGAATTTTGTTTCAGAGACTTACAAATAGAGATTTGAAATTATTCTCAAAGTGAAAAGCTATATACGTGAGGAAAAGATAAACACATTTACATTTGCACTTATGATATCTAATATTATTTAAATAATTGAAAATCAAATTTATATACATTTTCCATATGGCAAAGAAATATAATTCGTTTTTTTGAAACAAAACATGATAAAACGTAAATGAGATAATATATTCTAATTTAAATACTAAATATATATGATATATGATACTAAGGATTATCTCAAAAATTGTTAACCGTACTAATCTACATATGAAAATTTCTGCAGACATATGATGTAGATATAAAAATGTGTGTGCAGATAAATATTTATTAATATATTTTAATTATATTTTACATATATTTGGATATTAAATATGTTCGATGAAATCTATATTTTTATATATTGTATTAAGCTTTTGTGCCAATGTATCTAGATTTAAAAAATATGTGACTAAACAATCATTTATTTTCATATGTTAATAACCATTACAGTTTTATGATAAAAAATCTGGAATACAATAAAAATTAATTGATCTGTGCCAAACACGTGAGGTAATACTAGTTAGAAATAAATCACAAATTAAGAGTTCCACCACTTTTTTTTTGGTGGCAAAATTTACTCGTTCTACATAAGCTTCCATTTTTTTTGTCATCAAGAAACTCAAACTCTATGAAGACTGAGATTCTATGAGATTCTTCAAACCAGACCGGTATCCATAAGATTCCAATTATGATGGATTCTATCTAACTTACAGATTTAGATGATGAGTAAAAACAAATAACAATACTACTAAACAAATGGGTAAAGATCCTTTTGTTCTTTCAGAACGACATGTCGGCAACTATAGGAAATATCAAACAGGTCTAACTAAGACAACAACAAGATCCCAACTGGCTAGTGTCGTAGCAAGACACATCTAAAAGACTTTACGAGATACCCTTTCTCTTTGGGTGAACTACTTATATTGAGCTAAAACCACCACTGGTTTGTAAATACTCAGGAGATAGCTATAGCCTAACCGGGTCTTATAAAAACCGAATCTCGTTAGCACTAGATTCATCAAGGTCTTTGAAATTTCACTGCATACTGCAGGTTCCACGGATCAGACGCGAGTGTCTAGACAGCCCCCACTCCTGCCGGTTCTCATGGAACATACGTGCCATAAAAGAAAGAAAAAAAGAGAATAACTCTACGAACTGTATGTTTGCCTAAATGAGTTGCATATTACAAGATGGAGCATATGACTAGTTTGTTTGTGTGAGTAGAAATTACAAAAGGGATGTGTGCAGTAGAAAGGGGAAGTGAAAGAAGATGAATGCACTCACCTGAAACCATCATGAACCCTATCTTACCCACCAATTTGCAATGCATTTTTGAGGTAGTTTTCCACTTCCCTCTATATAAACAAAAACAACAAAAAAATTCACATCGTGAAAAATACGAACCACACATGCATAAATAATAGATCCCCAAAAGAAACAGAGTAAACAAGAGAAAATACAGGAGAAAAAGAGGATTATTTTGCTCAATGTCAAAGTGAACAAAAACCTACCTCTTTTTTTGGTTTGTTTGGTATCTCCAATATATGATGATTTATAGAACATTTTCCCCCATCAACGCAACATTTAACAAAAATTCCAAACTCTCAACACACAAACTTTTAGAATACATAACAGCTGATTCATAGATTCATCTCTTTCTCTCAATACGGACGAGAACGGTTTCCCCCGTGGTGGTTTCTGTCTGGTCCTGAACCATAGTTATCTCTTCTTCTGTCTCCCCCACCACCACCATAACCACCACCACCTCCTCCTCTACCACCGCCCCTGCACCATTTACAAGAAGTATCACATTATTACCAACTAGTAAAAGTCAAGTTATGCTCAGTCGAGTTTTACAAAGCATGGAAGCCCAACTAAAGAAGCAACTTATTTGGAAAATTACTATAACAGACTTCATATAGCCAAAAATATGCTTGGAAGAAGTATAAAGAAAGTAATCTTCAGAAATAAAAGCAGTCACAGCTAGAAATAAACATATTTTTTAAAGATCGTGGATTATCTCCTATATAGACCAGACGTAGTTTGATGGCATACAGATCAGTAGATAAGCAGATCCCAAGAAGAAAATAAGGTCCATACAGTTCTTAAAAAAAATAAAGCTTACATTGCAACAAAAAAAAAAAAATATATATATATATATATATCCCCAACAAAAATCTATAAGATGTAGTAACTAGTAAGGGTGACAGCTAATTAGTAACGAGAAAGAAAATATAAAGTATAAATAAAGAATCAAGAAAGCTACCTCTGGTCAAAAGCAGGAGCTTTAGGCGCAGACTTCTCTGCCATCGTTACACTAATCTTGTTCCCCCTCATTTCAAAATCTACAAAAAATCCACCATCATTCATCAAGTAGAACATCTAAACAATTCAAAAACTAGACAGCACTTCCATGGTACATACTGTTGAAAAAGCCGCCTGCCGAGTGAGCTGCGCTAGGATCTTCATAAGCTAGGCAGGCGTCACCTTTGTTCTTTCCCTTATCATCAGTGTAAATCTTGATGTTGTATGGCCACTGATCTTTGTAACCCCGCTTCTGCTTGATTCTTCCAACCTATTATAGATCCAACAGGAAGTGCACTCTCAATCAGCACACCAATAAACAAATACAGAAACAAGAATCTACGGCAAAATAAAAGCTTATTCCGAGATTTAACGACACAACAGAAGTAAAAAGACCAGTGTAATTACTTGGCCAATGCCACCAAAGAGATCCTTGAGTTCATCTGTTGTCACATCCGGAGGTAAATTAGAGATATATATTCTGGCATTATCACAAGTTTCATCACAATTCTCGTCGCACTGCTTGACTTTTTCAGCAGGTGCATCTCCATAACTAGGTTCCTGGCGTCGAGGAGCACTACCACCATCATATCCACCACCTCTACCACCCCGACCACCAGTACTCGGTGCATCCCCGCCATAACCCCCAGCGGGACCACCACCATATGAAGGTGGACCACCAGCATAGCTTGAAGGCGGGGGAACTGCTTCCATTCCATACCCCATGGGTGGAGGGTAACTGCCAGAACCATCGTAGGATGGAATAGCTGCCAGAGGAGGTGGAGGACCCTGCTGACCATAAGAACCATTACCCCTATCACTACCATAAGAGCCACCACCACCGCTTCTACTTCCACCATCATATCTATTACTCTCATAGCTCCTACCACTATCACGCCCACCACCACGATCACTGGCACCTCGGCCACCTCCACGGTCACCAGTGCCAGAAGGAGCAGGTGCACCACACTTGTTACATTCAACTCTCCTTGCAAAGTTCACATTCCCACAACTATATATATACAAACAGTTTGAGGGTAAACAACTTCAAAACTAACTAATCAACAGAGAATCCAATTTTAATCGTTTCACAGGCAGAAAGAACAGACTAAAGCAGCAATTACCTAGGGTTAGGGCAACGCCAATCACCATCTCTGCCGCCACCATCTCTGCCACCACCACCACCACCTCTCCCGCCGCCGCCACCTCCTCTCCCACCACGATCACCTCCTTGATACCCACCACCGCCTGAATCGAATCAAATCATTAGCAAGTTTCAAAGAAAGTAATGATTCAACAGAAGATTCCAAGCCAAAGATCTAAAGAATCATAAGGACGAATCCGTCAGATCTAAAACAATCTAATTCCCATACCTCGATTTCCTCTACCGCCTCCGCCGCCACCGTAACCACCGCGTCCGCCGTATCCACCTCCTCCGGAGGCACTGCGACCTCCATATCCACCATCACCGCCTCCGTATCCATCACCACCGTACGACGGAATAGGCGCACCACCACCACCACCACCGCCGCCGTCTTGATTGTACATACCAGACATGACCTAGGGTTTGCGAGATAGACAACAGACCAAAAAGAAATACTCTTAGCTAATTGTGAGCCTTTTACGTTTAAACTATTGTCGCGTTTCTTCTACTACATCTGACTGAACATTGCTTTTACTCAAAACGACACCGTCCCCCTACCCAACATTCATGCAACCTTATTGAAGCCCAGCCCAATAACAGTTTTCATGTGGGCTATTTTCACAGAACTGGTTCCGATAAACAAATTGGATATTTACAGGTTCTTGACATAAACCGAACCAGTGTGAGCCGATTACAGTGCGGTTTGCATTTGTTCATCAAAAATTCAAAAACCGAAAAATCTGAAATTTGAATTAACCGAACTAAACAACCGAATACACAGACTTAGCACTGATAAAGAATATCATTGGTACATCATATCCTCAAGTTTCAAGGACAAGGCAAAATTCAAGATCAGTGTAACTACAACGTTAGTTAAGTCCAAGACAGTAGGAAGAGTAGGAGAAGAGACCAACTCAGAAAGAAAATAGGAACGTGAGAAGATGAATGAGAAGTGTCAAGTTGAATCCAAAACCTGCATTTATCCTCAGAAGGATCAACGGTAGTGATCAAACCAAGTCCACCAAAGTCACAGCTCTCTTCCCTGTGATCACTTTGCTGATACAAGCTATTGAACGCGTACGACACGTTTCTCGGCCATCCAATCCCTGAACACGACCCACCAGGAAGTATCGAGGTGCAGTCTGAGAGAGAACACGCCTCTAACGCTTTTGCTGACGCATTTGCCAAGTCCTTGTTGTTGTTCACAACACACCACTTAGGAGGAAGGTACTGAACGTTCTGCGCGTTTATCAGTTTCTTTGAGTTATGGTTGAGGCTGAAACTGTACTTGGCTTGACCATCGAATGTGAACACTCCCCAGTGCCGCTCAAAGTTCCCAGAAGATATGTTCTTCTTATCTTCGTCCAAGAGGTTCTCAATGTAGGTTTCACGCGGCAGAAGAGAACCGGTCTTTTTCTCCAAGTGACCCATCAATCCTCTCAAGAAGGCCTCAGCGGTCGGTGACGTGGCGTTTGCTGCTCCATCAGTAGGCCAACCGATCTTTGACACGACGATATCCACATCCGGAAACCCAATACCAGACAGTGCAGAGAGAAGCGTGTCGTAGCTAAGATCAAAGCTGTTTCTGTAGGTTTTACGTCCGTCTTTGTGAGGCTTAGCTGTTTCTTTGAAGAGGCTAAAGTCGAGAGAGATGTTCTTGTTCTGGTGAAAGCTAATAAAAGGAGAGATTGTAACAAAGAAGGGAGAGTGATGCCTTGTGAGAAAGGAGAGGAGTTCGATCATTGTCTTGTTGAGGTCAGCTCTAAAATGTCCTGAAGAAGGTCGACCGGATTCCGAAAGAAAGGAGTCAAAGCTAGAGGGGACAACAACCTTCACTTCACTCGCCAAGCTCGCTTTAGCTAAAGCGTTTTGGATGTTCATAGCTGCTCCAATGACAAAAGGCCTATACTGATTACCATAGCTCTGGAGAAATGGCTCGTCTCCAACTGCTACATACCTGCAAACCAATTTAAATTGGTGACGTCAACAAAACCATTCTTCAAAGATAATTCCACAACAATAAGGTTGACACTGAACCATTTATGTATGTAACAATACACCAAGATTGTCACTGAATAGAATTGAGTGCTTCTTAACACTAGAGGAACCAACCAATCCTCGAACTATGCGTTTCCTGACAGTTCGCGACTTAGTTTCTCACAATGTAACGTAGTGAAGCTAAAGATGCCTTTGAAATAACACAAAACAGAAGAAACAAAACATAGCCGTGGAAAGAAATAACTCTACGGCTATGTTCTAAGGGTAAAGCCTTCTGTCCTAAGGCTAGAGGTGCCGGGTTCGAGTCTCAGGAGCTACAGGAAGAGGATTAAACAACGGCTTTTATCCCTGGACCAAAGAAAGATTATGAACTTACCACAGAACTTCTTCCAATTAAAATAAAAAACACTATCTCTGATCTAAAAAAGGAAACTTGCGGCTCAGAATCTAACTATTGTAAGAGAGATTACTCGATTCGGACTCTGTTTCCTCCATCGAAGTAACGAGTGACATTGTCATGAACCCAGCTCTCTGCTACCTTTCTTGACGCATTCAAGCTCTTGATCATCGAATTAGGGATTCCTACAGTGACGCCGATATTTGAGCCAGAGAGAGCTCGGAGAACCTTTGGGTCGGCATCGAAGAGCTTCACTTTCGCAATGCCGTTGGATTTCAGAAGCTCTACGACCTTGGAAGGTGGAAGAGGGTGAGAAGCTTCCGTCCCCCAGTTCACGCCGATGGCTCCGGCGGAGAATTTCGTTAGGCTTAACTCCGCCGTGACGAGAATGAGGAGGAGGAGAAGCATCCGACGAGTCATTAATTCAGTGAAGCTCTGGTGATAGTGTCACGAGAAGGAAGCGTTCCATGTTAATGACAAAAGAACTACGTGCCGTTTTATGATTGGGTGAAACAGCATGAGGTTTAAACATGGGCTTTAAATTATACGATTGGGCTTTAAATTTAATCAACAGCAACGATAAGAATATCTCGTACGTCATTTGTACCACGTGGCATTACATTCTCGATTCTCATTCAGACAAAGAGAGAGAAGTGTGCCTTTACTGTCTGAAACTGAAGAGAAAACGCTCTAACCGAATCACATCAATGTCGACGGAACGAGAAATTGTCTGTGTCACTGGCGCCAGTGGCTGCATCGGCTCGTGGCTCGTCCATCTTCTCCTCCTCCGTGGCTACTCCGTTCACGCCACCGTGAAAAACCTCCGTAATCTATCTCGAACTCATCGCCTCCCGATAACAGTATCTTCCTACTCTAACCGCCATTGATTTTTCGCTGCAGAGGATGAGAAAGAGACGCAACATCTGGAAGCTCTCGAAGGTGCATCCACGCGCCTCCATCTATTCGAGATGGATCTCTTACAGTACGACACCGTTTCCGCCGCCGTCAACGGCTGTACCGGCGTATTCCACCTCGCATCTCCCTGTATCGTCGACGAAGTCCAAGATCCACAGGTTTTAAACAGCCAGTCCAAAAAAAAACTTAGCTTTAAATGAACCAATGATGATTAGTTCACTTGAGTGTAATTTTCACAGAAACAACTACTTGATCCAGCGGTTAAGGGGACATTAAATGTACTAACGGCGGCAAAAGAAGCCGGCGTGAAGAGAGTTGTGGTGACATCTTCCATATCAGCGATAACCCCAAGCCCAAACTGGCCTAGTGATAAGATAAAGAACGAGGAATGTTGGGCTGATCAAGACTACTGCAAGCAAAATGGAGTATGTTTTTTTTTTTGTAACTTAACATGTTTTCTTGATTATTTATCTTATATGAGTTTTGATTCTTGTGTTGTTTTGGTAGTTGTGGTATCCACTTTCTAAGACGCTGGCTGAGAAGGCGGCTTGGGAGTTTGCAGAGGAGAAGGGATTAGATGTGGTTGTGGTGAATCCAGGCACTGTTATGGGTCCTGTCATTCCTCCATCGATCAACGCTAGCATGCTCATGCTTCTACGCCTCCTTCAGGGTATACTCTCTTTTGTTTTATCCAACAAATTTGAGCTGGTCTGAGCGACTAAGTCTCTTTTTTGAATGATGTATTATTCGACAGGGTGTACGGAGACGTACGAGAACTTCTTCATGGGTTCGGTGCATTTCAAGGATGTGGCGTTAGCTCATATTCTTGTTTACGAGCACCCATCTGCTAAAGGAAGACACTTGTGCGTTGAGGCCATCTCTCACTACGGTGATTTTGTTGCTAAAGTGGCTGAACTATATCCTAATTACAATGTCCCCAAGTAAGAAAGTCACAAACTCTCTTTCAAACCGCATACGTTATTATGTATATCTAGCTCTCAGTAACCTGCCTTGGGGAAATGTGTCTTAGGTTGCCCAGAGAGACTCAGCCAGGTTTACTCCGAGTCAAGAACGCATCAAAGAAGCTGATGGAATTGGGGTTAGAGTTCAGTTCCATGGAGGATATCATCAAGGAAGGTGTGGAGAGTCTTAAAAGCAAAGGATTTATCTCCTAAACTCATTTGCTTGATTTAGCAGTGACCAAGGCAGCAGAATCATGTCATGTTATATAAGACTTTCCAATTTGAATAAACAAGCTAGACCTTGCTGTATTATATAAGATCCAACTTCCAAGTACTATTAATTGACTGTGAATACTGAATGGATTAGCTCTGAGATTGTTAGCATAAAAGGTAAGATCTTCGTTTCTGCTTTAGGTATATTATTGTGATGTTGCTTCAAGAACAAATTGTCGATATGTCCGAGTGGTTAAGGAGATTGACTCGAAATCAATTGGGCTTTGCCCGCGCAGGTTCGAATCCTGCTGTCGACGTTTTACTTCTTTTTTTATATATTTAATTTGCCATTTTCCTTCTGTTTCCAAAATATACACGCTTATGTAAACGGTCATCATCTACCCTAGTGTATAGTGACAAGTATACTGGTTTGATTTACCATTTTTCTTCTAATCCCAAAACAAGACTATATAGTTTCAAAACTTAAACAACTATCAACTTGATACTTTCAAAGTTAAGAATTATTTTCAGGCAAATAATGGGGAAATGTTAACATGCATGATGCATCAGGATTTCAGTCTGCAATCTTACTAATTCGCAACTTCCAAAACACTAGCCGTGGCCCGTGGATATGAAGTTCATGTAATCATCTCTACTATCTATATCGTTAATTAGCAGAGGCAGACAGAATCCGAGTAAACGCTGAGCTAACAATTAGAATGGTTAGGAAAATCATTTACTTAAGCAACAATCACCGCCTTAATTATAAAAGTGATTCGACATTATTATTCACCAAAACAACTGAAGAGACAACAATTAAAGAAGACATAAGCCCATTCGTTTTTATGATATGGGATAACACTTTTATTAAATGTCTAAAATATCATTATTTAATGTGTGAATTATTCAAAAAAACACAGTTTGAAGTCAAGTTTGGAGAACCACATTCTTATGCAATTTACGGAACCAGAGATGAAGAATCAGAAGATGAAGTGATTGAAGAGACTGAAGAACCAATAACGGAAGAGTCAACCAACAAGATGTGATATCCGACAGAAACCACGTGAAGATGTAAAATTAGAAATAAATAAAGTGGAAGAATAGGATTCCACATTCTTATTTTTGTAAGAGTGGACATAAAATGAGTCACGCGTCTGTGTAAGAATACACTAAATCTTACACAGACGTGAGACCCGAGATTTGGAACGTAATTACACACTTTCGTACTCATCAATCAATCACGGTGAAAATTAAGCGACCACTGTAGATAACTAAATCTTACTACAATAATAATAAATTGATGATCGTCTTTTCCAATTATAATTGCATTTTACTAGCCGACAAAAAAACTGCAATTTACTACTAAATAAACGAATACACAAATTATAAAATCTCTAAAGCAAAAAAAGAAACACAAGATCATTACTATACCAAAGTTTTCATCTTAGAATTAGATTAAGGGTACTTAGACTAAACCATCGTTGCAGCCACCACAACCAAAGCAGAACCACCACGTCCACCGCCATCATCAGCCTTTAGAGCTGCCTTGGCTGCTGTAGAGAGCCGTTTCCGTGTTCTCTTCTCGTAGGGAATCCCACGAGCCTTAGCCTGAGTTCGACGCACTTCCTTAAGATAGATCCCAACCGCCTTAGCAGCGAAAGGGTTCGACTCGGGAGGACCACCCCCGATTTCCTCGAACGCAGCCCTTAGACGACCGATGAGAGAGTCGAGGCTTCCCCACGCTTGTCTGAGAGGGCAAGTGCACTTAGCCGGTGGGTTCGGTTCTCCGAAGAAGGGACAAGACAAGACGTGGACTTTGGTCTTACCAAACTGGTCGATGTGCTTGAGGAACTCGATGACGTGTATGCCGCCAATGCAACGAGACAGGGTTAGAGGTGGTGGCTTGTGGTGGTTCTTTAGATAGTCGAGGAAGTTGTTCCAGTCTCGTCTCTTCTGCGCCTCGTAACGGCTTGGAGATGGAGATGAGGAGGAACTCGCCGCTTCTTTTGCTGCTGTTTCTCTCTCCATATGTGATTGCGTCAGCACGTTCTTGATTGTGTGTGTCGTGTCTGAGATGAAGAGGAAACGAATGAGACAAACTTTTCTTAAGGGTGTGCTTTTAATACTCACTCGACGTTTACACTGTGCTTTAATACAAATCTGATAGAAGGATCTAGATGAGAAAAGTAGAGGTTATCTACATCCTTAGCTGTCACTGGTGAGTCATCGTCTAAAACTTGGAGAGAGGGTCAAATCTGTTTCCTCGGGAGAGTGTCTTCACCACCGTACCATCTTTGCTCTGTTTCTCCTTCAGAAAGCCGTTGTGTTTTGGCTGTATCTGAGGTGTTTTGGGCTTTTGTGAATATCAGAGGCGAGGCCCAGTGGAGTATACTAGGCTTTTCACTTACATGAGAGAGAGGAGTGAAAAAGGGATGAGATTTTATTTTGACACTAGTATCGATGATTTAGTTTAATTGTTATAACTAGATTTTAACCCGCGCGGTTGCGCGGATGTATATTTTCGTTTATAGTTAGTTATATAAATATTTTGCTTTCACTCGTAAAATTTTATATATTATAGTAATCACATATTTGTGATATGTATAGTAAATATTTTTCAAACATAATAATATTATATAATACATGTTTTAATTAAATAAATTTTTTTCAAATTTTCTATATTATACATGTTTTTCAAACATGTGTTTGTTTCTTCTTCTATATTTTATTGTTTGTTAGATTAATACTTCATTTTTAGATAAAATAATATAAATAGAGCTTGATTAAATATTAGTATACTTTAATTTGCAAAGATAATATAAACTTCGAATAATTTTGCTAAAAACAAAACTTATAGCTTCATAAATTAATATTATAAAAAATTTTATTAAAAATGAATTTTTAAACAATTTCCTTTTTTTTAAACAAAATAATTTTAAAAATTTACATCGAAATAAATGTATCTAGTATATATAACGTGTAAATTTTGTTAGGGTATATAAATATTCCATATTACAAATCTGTGATTTTTGTTGATATATTGTGGATGCATTTAACTATTATTGACATATTTCCTTATAATAATAGAAGATTCATAAACTTATATCTATTGACATATTTTGCCTGGCTAAGTTGGAAGGCGTGGAGTAATTTACCAAAACCAAATTGTTAATCGTATCTTTGTTATTAAAGATATGATTTTTTATAAGATATAATAATGATAAGATTATTAGAGAGTTAATGTAACATGACTTTATAGTAACTAGGGGCTTTCCCGGGCTACGCCCGGGTTGTTTATTTTAAACTTTATAATTATTTTTACTTTTTTAATATTATATACATATATATTTTGAATTGATTATAAAATAAGTTAGTATACAAATTAAACTCTAATTATTAACTGTTTTCTTCCTAATAAATGTGATATGTTAGAAATCATAGTGTGTTGTGTGTTTTATTATATAATGAGATGGTGGTATGAGTTAGAAATTACTTACACGTGATATGTTTTCTATTCTTGATTATGTAGGTTTTTATGTAAAACAATTTTATATTTATTATGATTTTAAATCTTGTTATGTAGAATCATTATTTTATTTTTATTTTAACTATGTTCCAAAAGAAAGTATAAAACTGAAGTATAAACAAATTTTCTACTTGGTTTATTTCAAATTTATACTTATCAGTCTAACTAAATTATATAATATACAATATTGGTTTGATATAAATATTAATTTTTTTTTATTTTTCTACCCAAAAGAACCTTCATAATTTTCATTAGTTTGGCCAAAAAAAAAACATTTTTCTAGATAGATTGCTAAGTAGAAAAAGGGTTAACACATTTTTAGTTAAACCGCTACTTAAAAATATGTTGTTCATACCAAACCGGCTCATTTTATGATAGAGAATAAGTTTAATAAAAATTAATGAAAACTGACCGCTATTCCTTCAAACCAATTTATAATAAACCATTAATAAAAAATTAAAAATTAGACGAAAACCGAATCTTAAGACGAACTCTTAAGTAAACTACCACCCTGAAGACCAATAAAAAGACGGACCTCGTTTTGGGGAGTCGACTATCTTCTTTCATTTATCTTATTCATCACTAATCAAAGCTTCTTTACGGGAAACAAAATTGATCAGTGCTTTTATTTAATTTTAAATGTAAACTATCCTACAATTTAAATATCAGATAATTTGAATATTTTTAACATTTTTAATAGAAAATATTGGGGTAATTTATTTTTTTGCCTAATTTGGTTTATAAATAGTATTTTAGCATATTCAGTATTAAGATATTATATATAATTAATATTTGTAGGTATATAATTTATATTTAAAAATTTTAAATACCCATTTGGTTCTCGGTTTGGTTTCTATTTTTCGGTTCCATAGATATATGATATGAGCGATTATTATAAAATTTGGTTTAATTTTTTTTTTGTTTTTTTTTCAGTTTGATACGGTTCGGTTCACATGAATAAATAAATATAAAAATATATATTATCTTATATAAACAATTTTTTTTTTGATAAAAAAAAAAAGAATTTGTTTCATTTCGAAAATAAACATGCGCTTTCCAAGCGAGGGTCAAAATCTAGTTAGTCAAATCAAACAATATGTTCGTACGTCTGGAGTATGCTAATTGCCGCTACCAAATACCACATCAAACACACTCACCACGTCCACTTGCGGATTCACTACGGAAGGAAGGGTGTCACATGACCCCCTAAATATGATAACAAATTTTGTATAAGCAAAACATGTAGAAAATCAGCAGAAAGGTTGGTCTATTTCTTCATGGTTATTATTGTAGAAAAACTGTTAAATTATAAGCCCAGCCTTCATGAATTATCAACAGACGATCAATTTAGGCTAAGGAAGAACGGAAATGTGCAGAGAATGATGTCCGTGGAGGTGGATACACACGTATGTGTAGATAGTAGTATAGTACTACTACTCTCTCCATTGTATTTGCCTTCACATATCTTATTTTTTGTTCATCATTCACGCATGGGCGGTTAACAACTTTTTGGAGTTCTTGGGCAAAATTTTCTTTTGGAAATTTTTGATATCTTTTATTTTTAAAAAGATTATTCTTTTTAAAAGATGAAGATAAAATCTTAAAAATCATATGGAATTTTTAATAATAAAATTAGTTACTAAAGTATATAAAAGAAAAAATAGTTAATATATCAATTTTAAATATATATATATATATAACTTTTTTATGCTTGACAATTCTTTTTATTTTAAAAAAGCCTTTTAAAACAACAAAAAAGACTCCAAAATATATGGCCCAAGGCGGTCGCACTCATTGACGCCCTATCTAAGCGGCCCCCTGCATTCACAATGCTAATGGTATTTTACAGACTCAGATTTGCTTTGAATGAAAAGCTGATTATTATAACAATAATACAGACTTCATTAATATTACACATAAATTGTATCTGACAGAGATAACATGTACAATAAAACAACATCAAGAGTTATTGGTTAAGAAAATGTAAAATGACAAAGCAAGTCGGCCCACTCCAGACCTGGAAGCATACAACACACTCAGCCGCACAAAAGATACATTTATCATAACGTTTCACTTAGTAGGAATGATATATTCGTTAAGCTTAATACAGCCTTGAAGGTTAATCTTCTGCTAAGCAGTCGGATACTCCTCCTTAATAGAAGCATTGTCACTTGGGACATCTGCCTTCTTGTCTGAAGTAGGGTAAGGGTTCTTGCTGACCAATCTGCAACAAAATAGTGTGAACGTTGTAGTTAGATACAATCCCTTGAGGTCAAGAGTATGATTAATCAGTTATACATGCAACCTCTGAAGCTATTGAGATTATTAAAGATGCATATATACCTGTCCCGTCTCTTCTCAAGGAACCGTTGAAGCGAATAGGCAAAAAACACATTTGCGGAAACTTGATGAGAATATTCATTTTAAAGATTACTGTAACTTTTTAAAATGGAATACTTACCAGCAGCAGATCTGCAAAATGAAATAGGGTGAATGGGAAATGACTGCGCAGCTGGAGAAGCTGCATTGGAGGTGCTTGAGAGAGAAGGAGCTCTGTTCAGTGCTGGAGAAGCCACAGGACTGGTGTTCGTAGAGTTTTTTGCCTCAACGGACTTAGCAGCAGCTGCAGCAATACAGATGATTTCTTGAATCTGTAAGAAAATGGTTATTAGTGAATGAGTCTTAACACACAGTTTGGCAATTTTCAGGATCGCCAGATGAAAACTTCTTGGTTACAGAGAAAGTGACTTTCTCATTAGCCTGAGATGATGTATTCACCATATCAAAATCTATTGAAGATGTAAGACTGACAGCAGGTGCTCCCTCTTGGCTTACATGTTGCGTTTCTTCAGGATTGAGAGGCCATGCTTCACATTCTTTACCATCAATCATAGTCCCTGAGATATAAAATGTATACACATACACATGTAGAGGAGGGTCAAGTAATTATGATATATCAATTTTGTACGCAATTACCAGTAATTTCAGTACCTTTGAGCTTACTCTTGACCTGAAAAAATTCAGCTTCATTCCAACCAGAGAGAATAAGCTTAGCACCTAAACTTGCAAACTTTTTAGCACGAACTTCTTCTAAAATTCAATCACAAACAGAGACATAACACATGACTTACATGAGCTGCAGCCACAATACTAAATTGGACACTTTTCTTCACAGATAATCCTAAAAATACAACTTATCGATTCGACGGCTAGCCCGTTAGTTTGTACATATATACGAACCAATAGAGCTCCAAATCATGTTGTTATCTTATCACCACCAGATCGCCAGAGAAACCTTTTACTCTTCTGCTCGGTGGAAGGCGATGAACTCATCACCAGAGTCGCATCCTATGTCACCACCTGATACTCTAATTCTTCACACTCCTAACAATCATCAATAGCACTTTCTTTCATCTCGTGGCTTCAGTTGATGGGAAGCCTTAAACTCAGGTATGACAGTGCCCCTGTCTATGTATGAGATTAGGGCATGTACATGAGTGAAAGACTAAAATATGGAAATATATAAAGATGTGGCGAACCTGTTCATCGATCAATAGGTTGCAAGTAGGGTTTTGAAGCCATAGATGCGGTGAGATTTGTTTGGATGTGGGTGGATTAGGCGAGCAGAGAAAGCGGCAAAGAAGTTATATATTGTGAGCTTGATTGAATTTGAAGAGTCATTGTAACGGAGATGTGCAGAGAACTTCATCAGTGAGGACGAAGGAGAAGAGTCGCGACTTGTCTTTGGTAGGAAATAGGTTTAGTGAACATGGGCTGGTATGGGTCAAGTTAACGGATCAAAAAAATAGAAGTCCAAAACGAAAATTGGTCTATGACGTGGCTCAAAGAAAGATTTTTATTGGTTGAATATTTTCGCCTACGTGGCATAGCTCTAAGGGCTTTATTAACAACTTTTAATAGTGTAAGATAATCCATTTTTAAAAAATCACACATGAAGTCAAATCATGACTTCTGTTTAAATATATAAGATGGTTTTAAATTTTTAAATATAATAATTTATAGTAATTTTATTTTTGGAAATGCATTTATGAAATTGCTTTATAAACATTTATATTATTATATTTACTACACTGTTATAAATACTTCACTATACATTTTACATAAAGTTTTAGTTGAATGACAGAAACAATTCGTCTTATGCACAGTATTTAAATTTTTTAGTTAAAAAGTCTTAAAATGAACTTTTGATTGTCATAAATATATTTATTAAATTCACACATGTATTTGAAATAATTTTATTTATTTATTTTTAAATAACCATATATATAATAGTATAATATTTGAACAAAAAATTTACTCACGAAAAATATGTTGATAAACTTAACTAATATCAAATGTATTTTTTAGATAATAGAAAAATGAAAAAAATACAATTAATTTAAAATAGTGTTAAGTTATACTTTATATATTGAGATAATAATATAAGAAATTGTAGAGTACTAAATTTATCGTTTATTCATCTAATTGACTATAGTTCACAGTAGTAAAGTTTGTATGAATATAGAATGCACTGAAGTAGATATGGTTTTCCTTTCTGGAAATTATATTAAATATTACTTGCTTTGTACTTAACAAATGTTTATCTATCTTTTAACTGAATGAAAAAAACTAATATATCTTTATAATATTTAACTTTTCTTTGTACTTAGAAAAAAATAACAATATATATGTGATTTTTATATATTAATTGTGTGTACAACTGAACTTAAAAGACTTTCTTTGAATCTTCAAAATATATGTGATATTATAATAGTTAGATTCAAAATTTAATCACAACTAATACTTTAAATTTTAATCTTTAATAGTGTTCAGATAAAATAAAAATGACAATAAATATAATAGTTCTTACTGATGTTAAGTAATATTTTATTTATTGAGATGGTAATATAAAGAGTCTAGTGTATTGAATTTATCTTTACTTGATGTCATTATCATATTTACCATAGTGAAGTTTGTATTACTGTGGCATTGAAATGGATAATATTATATTTTTTATACAACATTAAACATTAATTTCTGGTGATATATAATGTTTTTTCAACATAGTTATAAATAATGTTTGTTTTGCATTTTTTACATGAAATTTGTAATACCCTTGGAAACGTTTACACAATTTACTAATTGCACGGTAGTTGGTAGCTATTAGAACATTTAGATGAGATTTCTTTAATCTTGACATTTGCTTTTCATAACTATTACAAATGTTTATAATTTTTAAATTTAGTTTGTTGACTAACATCCTTATATAATCTATTATCGTGTTGATAAATCATATTTCCTACCAATTTTTATATTGTAGTTCATGTTATAATGTTTTTTTCTAAATAGCGTTTTTTTATTCAACTAAGTTATATGGTGGTTAGAAAATTGATGATAATGGTAGTTTTGTAAATAAAGTTAAATGTTTATAGTGTTTTGGTTTCTTGTTATTTTTGAAAATGAAAGAAAATTAAATTATAACGGTAATTTTGTAAATAGTTGAAAAAACGAAAGAGAGTATAAGAAGATCAAAGCTAAATAGTGTTAACAACAAAATATAATTAGTTTTATGTTTATCTTGAAATTTTGAGTCATTTTGAAAACTCCATATATAGATTATGGACATTTTCAATGGTTTATAACTTCAATGTTTAGATAGTGTATAAGATAAACAAATACATAACGTGCTATCATGCTAATGAAAATTCTGTGAAACCTGAAGTAAACAATCGTACACATTTCTGTATCTATCATAGCTGCAAGTGTGCCTGGCAAGCGGAAAGTGTAACTGTAACTCCATATGTAAATGGTTTTTAATTAACATCAAAGGTCAAAGCAAATAACTCAACTATTTCTTGAGTCGTTCAAAATTGTAAAGAAGAAAATAAAGTGGGAGTATAGGAAGATGATCATCCCCATCATCATTAAAGGCTTTCAAAAGAAAGCACCTGGAGATTCGTGACTTGTGAGAGAAATCACAACTCACGTGAGACCCGAGACTTGGAACGTACACACACATCACAATTATACACTTTCGTACTGATCAATCAATCAATCACAGTGAAAAATAAGTGATCATTGTAAATAACTAAACAAAATAAGATTCCTTGTTATAATAATATATGATCGTCTTTTCCATTTATAATTGCGTTTAACAACTCAAATAGACGAGTACACAAATAATATAATTTATAAAGTAAGGAACACAAGAGAATTACTATATATGCTAAAGTTTTCTTATATCTAATTAGATTTAACATCAGCAACAACCAAAGCAGAACCACCACTTCCACCAGCACCTTCTCCAGCATCGACGTTTTGAGTTGCCTTAGCTGTAGAAGGCCGTTTACGTTTTTTCTTGTAGTGGGGAATCCCACGAGCCTTAGCCTGAGTGTCACGTACTTCCTTAAGATAGATCCTAACCGCTTTAGCAGCCAAAGGGTTTGACTCTGGAAGACCACCGCCTATTTCCTCGAACGCAGCCCTTAAACGGCCGATGAGAGAGTCGAGGCTTCCCCAAGCTTGTCTGAGAGGGCAAGTGCACGTGGCCGGTGGGTTCGGTTCTCCGAAGAAGGGACAAGCCACGATGTGGACTTTTGTCTTACCAAACTGGTCGAGGTATTTAAGGTACTCGATGACGTGTGCGCCACTGCAACGAGACAGGGTTAAAGGTGGCTTGTGGTTCTTTAGATACTGAAGAAAGGTGTTCCAGTCTCGTCTTTTCTGTGACTCGTAGCGGCTTGGGGGCGAGGAGGAACTCGCCGCTGCCTTCGCTGCGGTTTCTCCCTCCATCTATGATCGTGTGATTATGATCAGGACGGTCGTTAGATATTAGGGTTCTTGATTTTCTTTTTTTTTGAACACCGGTTCTTGATTTTCTTTTTGTGAATCTTTGTGTGTGTGTGTGTGTGTGTGTGGGTCGTGTGTCTGAGAGAGAGAGAGGGGGAGGATGAGTTTTATTTTATGAGTCACAAGCAACAAGTTGGATTTGATTATTCATATTGAATTTTTCACCTTTATATCCCATCATCAAATTTGTTTCAGTGTGAAACAGAAAATGGAAATTGAGATGCATCCATATTCTATTACCCACCGTGTTTTAGAATTCTTTTGACTATGTCTTAAGTTTTTTTTTTGGTATGGGTCGTCTTATTAATTAAAGATTCAGATCTGTTATTACATTTGGATTAAGCAAAAACATGAATATAAGTGTCTGCAAAACCTAATAATTTAGGCTTATAAGACCATACTGGAAGTTTTTTAGTAAAAATCTTACTTTTAAAAATAAAGAAATAAAAAAGAAATTAGGAGAGAATGAAAAAAAAATTCGAAAACACTTGTTTTAGAACCAGTTCTAACCACATGTCATCTAACAAACATTTTATGATTTAAAAAAAAAAGATAGAACATTTAGTTATTGAATTAAATATATATATATTTTTTTTAGAATATCACCTTGTTTTTAATGGATGTAGATGCTCTAAGTATATTAATGACAATTTACATGATTAGAGTATAACTTTTTTTTAGTGGATATCCTTTTATGTTTGTTGTAATATCATGACATAATGTTGCATGTTCATCTAAAAGTAATAGCAATTTTAACAGTAATCAGAGGTGTACATATATATACAGTTGCAAACTTCTGACACTTGAAAACAAATAGCAAAGTAATAAATTAATAACAAACGGTGTGTTGGCACTAGTGATTTAGCTTAATTTGGATCTATTGTGTTCCTAGTTTAATTTTCGTAAGCCAGTCTAGCTGGTTTATAACCGTTATAGAATTAGAATTTGGGAACTATTCTCATTTGACAAAAAAAAATTAACGTATAGCATTTCGTCACTTTTTCACTACATATATCTTTTCATCACTTAAATTTACACAAAATAATATGTAATGTCCACATCCAACATAAGGATGATTATCACGGTGTGAAATTTTTCCACGAACGTAGTACGTAAGAGTTATGTTTTTAGGGAAGTTTAAGTTAACGACGTTAAGGCGGCTTCCATTCATATCAAATGCTCTACTACATAGTCGATTCTTGATTCTTCCCATGATTTATTTTGATTTAATTTGTATATATATTGTTGATACATCAAATCATATTAATAGGTCGTCAGTCCAATATTTATTCTATTATAGGAAATGCAAATTTCCCCCTTTTAACTTTCATTGGAAACTAGTTAACTTCTTGATCAAGTTCACGTATTGAAGTCAATAGTTCGCTGATAAGTAGCTATAAGCATAGCAAGTTTGTAAGTTGTAACTAACTGTCTATGCATGCTGCTTAATTAGTAATTTATTGACGGCATATATTATTTGTTATGTTTATTCATTCATAACTATTAAATACGGTATGTTTTTGTGTCTTAATCTCAAGAGTATCAATATTAACAATTTAGTTCACACTAGACCACCAACTAGTCAACTGCTTTGTAGAGACACTCAACTACTCAAGTTGGAATGTCCTTAATAACACGGTAGAATAGTTTTTTTTTTTTGACGAAAGAATTGTTTTTGTTAGTCTATCAACTTGACATTGTTATAGTTATCCATTTATACAAGGTCCATAGTTTGAGGAAATCATTGAATCACTATATGATTTAATTAGCAGTATACTATACAATGTAAATGTTTTATGTTTCCTAGTAATATATATATAGAAGGACGTTTGATTTGATAAAATACGAAAATTAAAGAAGAGAATCGTGGGTCAAGAAGCAGTGAAGAAGAAAAGTATTGGTCTTTAATTTCTAATCCACGCAGTTTCATCACTCACTTACATTTACTCAACACTCGTTGTGTTTAGTGCATAGTCTCGTACCTAATAAACGGTAATAATGAGATAACTACTATATGTTAGGATAAGTCTTGTTTAACTTAGAGATAATGATGTAACTAGTCCTTATCCTAACCTCTTTAGGAGGTTCTACGTTGTATAAATACAGGCTATTGGCCTCAAGGAATCAGAACGAAATACGATTCTTTTACATTCTAAAGTGATTTCATGGTATCAGAGCCATAGCTAGATATGGGATAATGAGTGATACCTGAGGACGTTTGCGAAGGACCAAGATCGGTAGAGATGAGAGCATGAGTGAATCAAATACGACAATTATACCTAGCCGGAAGGTTAAACACGACCTATATACCCGGTCGGAAGGGTTAATTAATTAATTAGGAGTTTAGGGCTTTTAGGATATGTGTTCTGATATCATTTTAGATTCGGGTTTATAGGCTTCCAACTTAAAACCAATTGGTGATAAGTGGATTGGCCCTAACCCTTTATATATTTATTAAGGTCCCATTAAATTCCCGATGTGGGATATATATCCTTAATACCCCTCCTCGAGATGATGGCTCTTATCGGCCAGAAATCTCGGAACTTTTTAAGATAGTCATCATGTTCGTGATGCCCTGAAGGCCAAGATCATTTCAACTACACATGTTTCCTCCAAGAACTAGCTTGCAGACATACTTACTAAAGCTTTACCAAAACCATTGTTTGAAGATCTCTTGTTCAAGTTGGGTATTCGTAATCTCACACTTCCAACTTGAGGGGACGTAATGAGATAACTACTATATGTTAGGATAAGTCTTGTTTAACTTAGAGATAATGATGTAACTGGTCCTTATCCTAACCTCTTTAGGAGGTTCTACGTTGTATAAATACAGGCTATTGGCCTCAAGGAATCAGAACGAAATACGATTCTTTTACATTCTAAAGTGATTTCAGGTAACGCCTTTCACTTTAACGTGATATTTATAAACGAATAATGCTTACATGTTATCCTAGCAACTCTTCGTTCTTCATCATTTCTTTTATCATCGAAGAATGAAAACGTCATCTCTACCATTAATATATAATCATCAATTTAGTAACTTACCTTTTCTAGATTTAATTCACATTCGTATAAATAGCAAGTTTTGTTTTTTTATCCTACAACAATAACACAAACGTAATTCAGTTTGTACAGCTTGATAAAATACATTATCTTTTTCTCCTTTGCACAAATCCTTTTAAAACCCACTCAATCTAATGCTTGGCATCACATGATTGCACTTTGTATTGCAAAAGTAACAGAGAACTAATCTTTTATCTGTCTTTTAAAAATGTTAGTTGAGTAGTCTTAGTTATGACACTGGAATTGTATTTACGTCATCTTGACTTTGTTTATGTCAGTATGACTGAAACTTCAGATGATACAAAATAGTATAAAAATGTAACAGAAAAAATAAATTACACATATATGAGATAGTTTTATCTATTGTCTGAATTAGAAATACGCTTTTAAAATATGTTCATTTGCTATATTTCTATTAAAGAACAAATGTGTTAATAACTAAAAATTAAACCAAAATGAAAAACAATTCAATCGCAGGAAGTAACAGAGAGTGCAACACGAAGATCATTAGATGTTCCAGAGACGTACATTCTATGTGTCTCGATTTCTTCCCCTCTCCGGTCACCGCTGGCCGCCACGTCAGCGGCTGCTGCGTAATGTATACCGTTGTTGACGTCATCTCCGGTGGAGAAAATGATCTCCCTGAGAATGGGTTCGTGTCCGTTTAGTAGATTTCCCATACTCAACACTTTTCTCCAAGACTGGTTCGCTGATGGTGGCGAGAACAGATTCGACACCACTTGTCTCTCTCTCAAACCCACTTCCTGTCTCCCTACTTGCATCTCCTGCTGTTTCAAATGATCATCAAGACACGTTAGTTCATTACCATAACAGAGATTCTCTTTAGTTTTAACGATGAACTCACCGTCCTGCTTTTGTTCTCTTCTTCTTCATTTGAGTTTATTCCCATCATTGGAACATAAAGGGCGTAGAAGTCACTGAATATAACTTGAGCAAGGCGTGATGCGTCAAGGAACTTTCTGTGAAGAGATGCTGCGACCGTCACCAACTTCTCGACGTGTTCAAATGCCACACAGAGACGTCTCAGATCTTTGACGGTCTTTTCTCTATCCGGAACATAGTTGCCTGCATCTGAATATCTGTTAATATGGAGACAAGAGGGCCACAAGGAAGATTTGTATGGTTTAAGGATAAAAACTAAGATTACGTTGTAGAACTCCTAAAGTAGATTTGATGATGAGGTAGAGTTGCTCCAATTTAGAGTTCATTTGTCTCATGTCCCCGAAGTTTGTCTGGTTAAGAGTGTCGGCTGCTCCTCTGAAGGCTGTACAGACCATTTGCTCAAGGAGCTGATGAGGACGCACTGTTTCGAGGTAATGAAGAATCTGAGAAATTTGTCAACACAAATGAGGTCGGTCAAACCTAGCCCTTATAAGAGGTTATCGAATGACTTCAAAAAGACACTCACCTTTTCTCCCTCTCGGTTTGGGTCTAGAAGGGGCTTTTGGTCATCAGCTGGCAAAGCGGGTGCATCGTTCCAACTCTTCCTCCAGAGATTTCCTTGATCAGACATCCGTTTAGAAAGGCGACCTTGAGGAGGCCATTTATCCTTCGAGCCTTCAGTGTTGGAGCCTGCCGATGGTTCTGCGGCTTCAGCCTCGGAACTATCCCAATCTCCAGGTGAGTGCCATCTGATGAAGTCCTCGAACACAGCATTTGGGTTTGCTGCTTTGAATGCTGACATGTCTGCAATCACCTTTGAAAGATCAGAAAAATAATGAAGAAGAACTCAAGTGTGGATGTAAGGTAGGTTTGCAAAACTAGCTGCTCCTATTGTTCCCTTTCAATGGACTCAAACTAAGTAATAGATGGCAAAGAAGTTTCATAAACAATTCTTCTCCGTTAGCATCTCTAGACAA